CGTTCACTTCTTACCTGTTCGGTGTGGCCTTGTTGTCATATTTTAGCCGCTGGGCCTCAACTACTCGAGTTCGGCTCTCAGTAAAAACGTTTAACCGAGAGAAGCTGTTTTTCACTCTAAGATGATGTACAAATGTACTGAAACACTTTTTGTGCATCTTTCAAAGAGCAAAGCCTTTTCTTCTGAAGATGCATTCTCAAATTGATGCATTTTATAGCCACAGCCACTTGCAGTTTGGCGCTTTGCAGAGGTGCCTTGCATAAGCCTAAAGTATAATAAACCTACAAGAGCATCGTTTCTGATAATATGGCATCACTTGGCCTCGCTTTTTGTAACCAACGTATCAATCCCTATCAGCAAAAGACTATCATAGCCACCGTATTGATCCTGTCGGCAACTGGCTGAATGGTGTAATGTGGTTAGGCAAGATGGCGGATGTCCAGTGTCATTCCTCTCCCAAATCAACCGTTTACCCATCCGGATAGGCTGAAGTCTGGTTCATGTAAATTGGGAGCCGAAGCAATACGCTTAATGTGATTGAGCGTAGTCACCTCCACCCCACGAGCAGGGGAGTGAACATCCGTCCGAGAGCCATGTAGTTGGTGTAGTCAAGGCCAGGTGTGCGTAGAGACCAGCTTCATGTCTCGTCGTACACCGACAAAAAGTCCACTTAATGTGGTGAGGGGTGAAATTAATAGACTGTGTTTGTGTGTGTCACTCTGGTCTACAATTTGTGGTCGTCCGCTCAGCCTCCACTGAAGTTACATCTGCACATACAAGCCCCTTCACCACCTCTACCCCCCCGCTCCTCTCGTGTTCTGGGCCGGTTTCGGAGTGAAGACAGGATCCCTGAACTGCATCGGGTACGGCTGAGGCAAACTGAGGTCAGACACCTTTGAGCATAAAGCGCCGGGTGGCGATGGTATCACTTAATTTCGTTTTGCTAGCAGCTACGGCTGAATATCAGCTTTGCAGATGAGATCAATTGGCTTCGCCTGGATGCCAATGCCCATCCAACCATCTCTCGCTCTGCCCTCTTCACTTTCGCTCTCCATCGTCCACCTAACTCCTCCTGTATCCTTATCTATACACACCTGCATGTGTCTACACACACAACACAAGTGCGCATACACACATACAAACAAAGACCCACTATCATACCCTTTAGTGCCGTTTCTTGGTCATTATGTTGCCATTAGGCAGCCAGCTGGCTTGGTTTTTTAGACACGGATATCAGGGCCTGTGAAGCAATTCTGGCTCTCGTCTCTTCAAAGGGGTCTCTGCCGATGGTTCAGTGTCGTCGAGGTGTTTGGCAGGTAGAGGAATAGAGGTTGCGCTTATCCAGGAGCCTAGATGGCTGACCGCAGCAAAACGAGGTCACACTCCAACATGTCTTCACTTTTGGTTGTCCATCTGCCCATCATGGCACCTCTGCCTCATTATCCCACCATCCCTTTCGGGTAAATTAAACTCCACTCTGATGCCTCGTTGGCCTTTCTCCAATTTATCGTTGCTAAGTCAATATGTCTTCTTTTGACAGGTAAGAGGCAATGGCCTTAAAACAAAGATTCACAGACCATGCAAAGGGAGGCGAAGTTGGGACTTGACACATTTCAATCAAGTTATAGTATGTGTTTATGAAAGGCCGATAAGAGAGGTTTGGTGAGAACAGTGGAGTCATGGAAGCCTTAGTGTTGATGTCTGATGAGGCACTTTGGCCGGACAGACTGAGAAACGCCGTGGCCAGAAAAACTAGAGATAAGGAGGCATTTTGAAGTGAGTTTACAGGAGGAAATATATAAGGATATTACGATTCAGTCTTAAATGTCATTTTATGTAAACCCAGGAGCAAACGGTTATGTAAACTGCCAAATTGTATAGCATTTGTGAGGAATCAAGGCTTTGTTGACAAGGCGACCTGGATGAGAATAATTTTTGGGAAAGCAAAGTGATGTGAAGTTTAATGGAAAAGTAAGGTCTACTCATATCATTGTGGGAAAATTCAATTACCAGTTATCCTAAGAGACTTTCATTTCGTATGAAAGTGCATGAAGAAGAGATTCGTTGGTCGATCTCACTAGCTGAGGACGGATAAATCTCGTTGTACTGCAGCAGGTTGGATTGTATAGGATATTCATGTTGACGCAGTTCACAAGACTTTCTCCCACATTTCGGGTGAAGAAATGCTGAGTTTTCGTTCATCATTCAATGGACAAACAATCTTGTAGCAACCGGATCTCGATAACGGGTCATATTTATCGCTAAAAGATGGTATAACAGAAGAAAGTGTGAGGGTTTCTTTGAACACTGTTTTAATGCCCCAATACTTTACTGATTCGCCTATCTTTTTTGAGAGAAAGCATGATGGTAAAATTAGGACATGGGAAAATGTATCAGTCTGTCTCTTATTGACTAAATGGTCTCCGTCTGAAAATGTATTTCTCAGTAGAGACATATTATTTTCAATAAGGCCCAAAGGATAATTATTTTTTAGGAATAAATTTGTCAGCCATTGCAACTCTTTAGTCGAATGTTTGCTATCCGCTAGCCGCACACTTCTAAGAATCATTGAATTCAAAATTCTAACCTAAGTCTAGTAACTATAGTTGGTAAGAAAATTAGGCAAAGAGCCAACATTTGTTGGCTTCCTATAAACATCTCTTCCTAACATACACTCTCCTCTAATGATTAGAACATCCAGAAAAGGTAAGCACTTATTCTATTCCATTTCCATCGTGAACCTAATGTTCCTTTCACGCTGGTTGAGTGAAAGTAGGAAACTATCTAAACTGTCCTTACCATGAGGCCAGAGAAAATGGTAAGTTAGAAAGAACTATAGTTACCAGACAAAGGTTAGAATTTTGAATTTAATGATTCTTATAAGGATGCGGCTTTAGGATAGCAAACATTTGACTAAGGAGTTGCAACGGCTGACAAATTTATTCCTGGAAAATAATTACCCTTCGGGCCTTATTGAGAATAATATCTCTCTACTGAGGAATAAATTTTCAAGCAGAGACAATGTAGTCAAAGATAGACAGACAGAGACCTTTTACCATGTCATGGCGAATTAGTAAAGAAGTGGGGCATTAAAATAGTGTTCAAAGAAACCCTCACACTTTCTTCTGTTATGCCATATTTTC